TAGCCTGCGCTGCCAAGCAGATTTTTGTGGTGCAGAGTTGTGTTAAAGTCCAACTCGTCTAATGCCCAAGTTTGACTCCAATTACTCATACCAAACTCTAGAATTGGGTCATAGTTAAGCAGCATGTTTTAGGTACGATCCACGAGTGAATTATGAAACCACATTTACTAATGTCCCCTGGACATAGCCATCAGGAGATAATCAATACCTCCGACAATGGTAATATTCACAATAAAACCATTATATTAAGACATATCCACAAAAATAGTGGAATGTGTCGGTGCAACTGTCGTTGGCATAACGAGCTCAACGCATGCAACACGACAAACCTTTGCATGGCTTGCACACGTCCACACACGAAAAACGCCAGTGTGCGACTAGCATGGTCATCAACCCGTGGGTGATCAACCAACACAACCAGGGAGTAGTCATCGACTACGAGAGCGCGATAAAACGCAATAGTGCATAGCCAACATTTTTCTGAAATACAGTTACGTTGAACTGTGTGAGTGGTTGTAACTCCTCGGATCAAACACTAATTGTTCTATTAAACTAAAGCATTTTTATCAATTCCAGCATGAAGATAAGCTTTATAATAGAATAGGAAAGACCAAGAACTTTATCTATCTAGGAAATATCGATTTAATGCAAAGTTCCAAACTAAGCAAAAGATAAACTGCTTGGCAACATTATAGCCGACCAATGTCCTTCTAGGACATGCTCTAAACTAGCCATACAACTCCCGTTGTCAAAGCAACTTATTAGACAGACACTACAAACCATTGGTCATCAACCAAAGGTCGCCATTTAGCACTGGATCCATCCGAGGAGACGAGGACCTAGACCGGGTCAACACCCTAGTCAAGCTATTGGCGTTGTAGTGAAGTGGGAATCGTGCCTATTCACAGCATCTACCCTCGGGCTTATTCCGCTAGATTTGCCTCCAATTTTTCGGCGTTCTCGCAAGACATCAGGTTCCAAATAATATTGAGAAGATATGTGCACACCAGGGGCAACCATATGAACAGTGCCGTTCCACCACATGGAAAACACTTCACATCTTTCACCGGACCGAGTGAAAAATATCTCAAATTATTGAACCTCGCAACTCCATGTTGCTAGAAAATTGAGGTATAATCATTTATCTCCAAATCAGAAAAGCATGCTCTCAACCATTGGGAAAGCAAAATGACGACCGTAGTCCGACCATACTCTGATTGAGATATTAAGCCACTAGGGGAAAGGCACAATGAATCCCAAACACATTGTCTAATTCCACACATTTCAACGACTCAGAATCCCATTCTTGAGTGTGATCATAGGGATAGAGTGATCTACATTAATGCCCAAAGCCATACAATAGTCATTGAAGGCCTTTACGTGAAATCACCCACACTATCATCCGAATCGTTTCATGCGGTTCTCAGAGAACGCAACACGCAAATGGACGATATGTGCAGTGAATTCGGCAAAAGCATGGATCTCGTACAACAAGTATACGTGACTCCATCTTGTAGACACATCGATATTACCATTTATGTATGGAGGAGTGTATCAGTAAAGAGTGGTCTTATCCATAGCCATGGATATTTAATTTCCCAGAATTTCCATGCGTTATGTGATTTTTTGTTATTTACTTGGTCTTATTTGGCATTATATTCCCAATATTTATGCCACACAGAAAACCGTCACACATAAATGCAGGAAAATAAACCCATCATAATGCTTCCAGGGGGGATTCTACACTATGTGAACACAATTTATGGAAGCATCATAACCTAGAAAACCATCTCTAGATTATGTTGTTGGAATTGCATCAATTTTAAAAGCAAAGCAATGCTTAAAAAACACCATTACATAGTTATTTACGAGTCCGGAGACCCACATGCAAAACCAAACTATACAGGGCCTAAGCAACAAGACATAGCCACACAAACAAAATTAATATAATCTCTTGTTAATTACAAGGTTCAAACTGTAAAATTGCATTGAACGGTGAACTATAGCGTAAAAACCCAACACTCCGGGGGCTTAAACACAAGTTGTCAATAAACCGAAATTAATCGGGCCGAATTACCGTTCAGAGTACGATCTTATTTGGGCTATCAAGCACAGTGTAGCCCAAAATGCCTAATAGGTCGAATTTCTGAAACTCTAGACCCATGAGGATTTCGGATTTCCAGGTTTATTATTTTTATTAATTTGTTTGGGCTGTCTCGTTACTGTTGGGCTTTATTCGGTCGGGCGGAGGCAGACCGGTCCAGCCGGTTCGCCTAAATGACCGAGAAAGAGGAAGGGGAATTAGGGTTTCCCCTTTCCCATTCATTGTCCGCAACGGCGTCCACCGCTCGGCACACCGGCCCCTCGGGCACGGCGGCGGCGTTGGAGGCCGTCAACTGTCGACTTTGAAGGGAGTTAGGGTGGCACACGGCGAGGAGGTCATCGACGACCCATCCACTACCCCGATTGGCAGGACGGTGGCGACGACATCACTCCCTTGTTGCAATTTGGTGTGGCGACGGCTCGGTGGCACACGATGGAGCTCCACGTCGACCTGCGCATCCTCATGACGGCAGCGAGGCGAACTCAACGACGGCAACTGAGACCCCAACAACAGCAACCAAATTGCATCTGGCCATATCGTCTCGGCGGAGGTTAATCTGGTAGCAGGCAGCCGACGACCCATCATCCTCCCGCCACAGCTCGACGACAGCGTCGATGGGAGGTCAACGGCGGCGGCGCCTCGCTTCGGCATTAACTCCGGCGGCAATGGCGACATGGGTTTAGGGCTTTTTCTGAGACGGCGGTTTCCCGCGACGGCATCGACGCAAGGCCGACGGCGTACCTAACAGCGACGGCGAACGATGGCCAACATGTCTCTAAGTCCGACTACACAGACTGAGAATATGTCACCGCGTTCCCGGCGTGGCGTCATCAGAGAAAGAGAGAAACAGATAGATGCGAGGGAGGCGGGCGAGTCAGTCAATTCGGCCCAGCCGAATTAGGCACGTCTCCAGTCCAGGGTTTCCCATCAATTTTAATGATTTCTCACACGGTTTTCTCCAGTTTTCATCAAATAAAACAGATGCATATAGATCAAAAGTAGGAAATTAATCTACCGCTAGATCAAGAGCAGGATCAAATCTACTACAAGCAAAGCATCCATAATATGATAAAAACGAGAAAATAATATCAATCTATAAAAACATATATAGACCGCATACCTAATAGACACATGCCTGGATGTATCTATAGATTAGTAAATTAGTTTAGAAACCAATCTTACTAATTACCCTGGTTCGCATGCTCACAAAAATCTTTCACGCGCATGCTGCCTCCTGCTGCGTCGCAGGTCGCCTCAGGAACGGCGTCGATCGGTATATCGCACGCATCTGTACGTGCATGTGTATGACAACGATGACGACAGGTCGACGGCTCCGATCACGGATACGCTGCTTAGCACGCACAGCACCTGAGGCTCGTCTCGCAAGGCGACGCGACGATGACTCAGATCTCGTCGACCGGCGGCAGACATGCATGCAAGCAAAACAACCATCAACCATTAATTAATTAATTTGTAATCAGAAATCAATCTACTGATGTAAGTGCATGTGTCGATGCATGCATGCAGCATGCATATTGGTTGATTTGCCATCAATCTTGTGCATGGACGCCAGGAGCCAGGTCCATCCATGCTTGCGTGTGGCCAGCACAGGCCATCGCGTGGAGGTGCGGCGTCCAGTGTAGCCGCAGCCGCGTGGCGGATCGCGTGGGGACGAACCGACGAAGAACGGGCCGGTGCACTAGGAGATCGAGCACCGACACTCTCTACGGGCGCGCTCGATCGTGCGAGGGAGGCGGGGCCGGCGGACATCGGACGACAGGAGTAGTGCACGCTGCTCGCGGCGTCTCCACGGTTTCCCGGCTACCTGCTCGGTTTCCCTTTGCGATGTCTCCGCAGTCGCGTGATCTCGCAAAGAAAACCAGGACAAACCAATAGATCAATCTGTTGACCGAAATTAATCTAACAAAATCAACACATTAGAACAACAAACCGGTGAACGGAGAGCTGCTGATAACGTGTTGTAAACCAACGCGCCTATTAGCGGATCACCGGATCCGTTCCCTGTCCCTCCCACAGCAGTAGAGGCGTTAGAAAATGTAGAACACCCGCGCCTATCTCTTTGTCATCAAGAACATTGCAGAAGTAGACAATGAACATAGATATAGGGTGGAGCTCTCTCTTCATTATAGATCTCATCTGGAGTACAAACCAACCATTAGCCATAGATGTTACACCCTACCCCTATATATATAGGTGTCTTAGGAGAAGATAGATCTTATCTCTACTCCGGTTTGGATTGGCCTACAAGAAACTTATCTCCCAGAGATTTGTTTCACAACATATTTAAGCGAGTAAAAGTGGACTTTTTCCTTGTTATTAGCTATCTAATTGGGCCGCGCTTTCTGTTAGGCAAGCTATGGTGGGCCGATCGCTTTCATCGGACGACATAGAGGAACACTACAAGCCCATTCCCCAGTGGCCGCCGCCCGCCGCCGGTCGCCGGAGCTTGCTCCGCTGCTGCAAACACCTCGATCGTTGTTTCCGCGGCACGGCCAACTTGCCGACGTGATGGCCATGGCCGGAGGACGTGGTCGCACGCACGCATGATGAGGAGAAACATGCATGATTAATTGGACACTGGACAGAGAGCACAAACACAGCACGATCAATGCCTTCCCTTAATATTATACAAACATGTAGTAGTCAATTCGCAGTCATGGATCAATTAAATTAACGAAGGGCCTCTTCACTTTCACGTCATTTTCAACCTTACCAAATTTTAGTAAAGTTGTAAAAAAAGTGGCTACATTTAGTTTGCTGTTAAATTTTAGTAACTATATAAGAAATGATGCCAAAATTTTGACAATAGATTTTTTTTTGGCATCAAAGTGAATAGGCCCGAATAGACATGTATCGATTCACAACAATCTATAAGTAATTTACCAAACAAAAAATTAATCAACAAGAAATAATAATAATACAAGTTCATATATTGCTCAAATATTCAACTGCAAGAATTAACGAGCGAGTTTTTTTTTCCTCACTCGATGGATGGATGGATGCAACAGCGTGTGTCAATTAATCATCATATCAGGATTTATGGCTAGCTTAACCAATCAAATCAAATCAATTTCAATTTCTCCTTCTTGGCATGGATACGGCGTTGCCGTCGAAGAGCTCGTCGATGATGGCCTCGAGGTCCTCGGCGGAGAGCTTGATGTACTTCTCCGCCTGCCTCCCGGCGCTGAAGCTCTGCGAGAACCTCCCCAGGAACGACCTGTACGCCGGCACGACGACGGCGGCGATCGACACCCTGAGCTCCGACTGCAGCTGCTCGTCGCTCACCACCCACGCGCCCTGCGTCCTCTGGATCTCGTCCATGGCTGCGTTGAATTGCTTGAACCTCTCCTTGAGCACCGGCTTCTGCACCGACCCCTTCACCGTGATCACCCCGTCGTCGCGGAGCAGCGTCAGCACGCGGCTCCACGTCTCCCGCTGGTAGTTCTTGTGGTACTGCCTCAGGTCCGTCGACCGCTTCCTCGACCACGCCTCGCCGACCACCGCGTTGATCTCCGGCGATCCCCGGATCTTCTGCAGCATGTACCGGCCGTTGTTCATCAGGAAGATGCTGCAGAGCGCCGGGTCCTTGTAGAGTCGGGATTTGGCTTCTAGATTGTCGTGGAGGAGCTCCATCACCTCCATCAGCTGCGCCGCGAACGGGTCGCTGCCCTCGTCGTCGGCGTCGATGTCGGTGCGGTGGTGCTCATGGAAGACTTGCTCTAGGGTGTTCTTGTACTCGCATGCGTACTTGAGGTAGTTCATTAGGTAGCGGGTGAGTGGGTGCACCGCGCCGCCCGGGACCGGTTGCTTGCCGGCGTCGGCGCGGATGGAGCTCTCCAGGTCGCAGAAGATGGCGGCGGCGGACTCGCCGAGGCGGGAACGGACGGAGGCGAGCTCGGTTTTTATGTCGGTGAGGGCGTCGGTGGTGGTGTCGGGTTCGTCGGCGGCGGCGTCGGTGGTGGAGCAGGCGGCGATGAAGGCGTCGATGACGGGGGCGGCGTCGCGGACGGCCTCGTACATGTCGAGCACCTTGAAGAGCTTCTCGGCGGCGCGCTTCGTCATGGCGACGGCCTCGGTGAAGTTGAGCATCTGGAGCATGGCGCAGCGGGCGAGGTCGACGAAGATGGCGCGGCCGACGGCGGCGTCGCAGCCGGCGAACACGCGGGCGCAGAGGTCGTGCTCGGCGGAGAGGCCGACGTTGATGGTGTGGTGGAACGCCTTGATCCACGTCGCCACGTCCGACTCCAGCGACTCCCACGCCATCCTCACCACGTCGTCGATGCTCGCCTTCTCGTACCCGAGGTTCTGCAGCGACGCGTCCAGCGCGTTCCGGCGAGCCACCAGGAACACCTGGGTGCACTCCGTCATGTACCCCACGGCGATCATGGCGTCCGCCATGGCGCGGAGCCGGTCCACGGTCTCGGGTGGGAACGGCGGGGGGGTGTCTCCACCGCCGCCGCCGCCGCCGCCGCCGTCCGACGCGGGATCGCCACCCGCATGGTTGAACGACGGGCCACGCCTCATGGACTTGCCGGTGGCGCTCCTCGTGTCGCCGTTCTGCGCCGCCTTGGCGACGCGGGGGTCCTCGAGCATCGTGTGGAACTCGTCCTCGACGAACGCCATGGCGCGGTGGAGCACGCCGGTGACGCGGTGCACCCCGATGGTGAACTTGCTCCCCTCGGGGACCGCGGTGAGCGCCGCCGCCAGCGCGGAGATGCGCCTGATCGCGGCGAGGAGCGGCGCCGCCTCGCCATTCTCGCCCACCGCCCACTTATCGTCGTCGCCTTCCGACTGCGCCATCTCCTGCTCGACGGCGGACGCGAACTTGTCGAGCGTCACCTCCGAGATGCTCGTCGGCGCGTCGCCCTCCCTCCCGGCGAGGAACGCGTCCACCTCCGCCGACAGCATGGCTAGGTCCGGCTCCGCGGCCTCCTCGGGCGGCGCCGCCTCCTCTCCGGCAGCACCCTCGCCCTCGCCGGCGCCGGCATTGTCGACGCCGCCGCGACCTTCCTCGGCCTCCTCCTTGACGCGCACAGCGGGGGCATGCTCGCTGATCTTGATGGCGCCGAGGGAGAGGTTCCGGCCGAGCCTCTCCTCCCGGAACGTCGCCGGCGAGAAGCTGCTCGACTTCTGCGGCGGGATCCTATCCATTCTTGCCGCCGGAGTTGATCGATCGATCGATCGGTGCAACGGTCAATGGCGGGACGGGTCGCGATGCATGCAAAGCGAGAGATCGAGAGGAGAGAGAGAGAGAGAATGGAGAGGTTAGAGAGAGAGTAGGGGTGGGGCGCGGAAGTTGAGGGACGCCATGATTTTGAAGGAGTCGTCGTCGTCTTCTTCCTCGAGCTATGCAGACTTTGCTAAAGAAAGCAGAGGTGTTGCATGGTTGCTCACTTTTGGCGCCAACGTGAGTCTCCTGACAAAATTCTTATGAATATTTTCTTCTGGATTGATTTGAACATTAGTAGGATGCCACATTTTTAGACCGAAGTGATATTTTTTTAAAAAAGAAATCGTTATTTATTCAAATGCTAATGAACGTGTGACCGTGTGTGGTGATCATTTGTGCTTAATTTGGAGGAGGTGATGATGATTGCTGCCCACGATGAGTCCACTTCAAGGACTGTTTGGAGATATTGCATGTAATTAATTAGTTGTCCACAGAATTTTGTTCTTGTATTCAATTTAACTCGGCACTGCGAACTGAAATGGTTAGTTTTATGCCGGCCCGATTCAATTCCTAAATTGACATGTCAGCTCGTATTTATGTGCAATTATTCTATTAACGGTAAGTGAGTACTGTTTACACCTAAATTTGACACCTCTAGATAAAATAGAGAAAAATTGCCAAAGTTTGAAAAGTGCTGGGTTTCCTTCACATGGCCGGTCAGACCGCAGGAATGTGGGCGGTCTGACCGCGGCCTGAACTCCGGTCTAACCGCAGGTATGTGGCCGGTCAGACCGTCAGAGTTTGAACTCGAGTCTGTTTTCGTCGGGTCTCGAGTTTCCTTGCTTGGGAAGGCATGTTTCGGGTTTCCTTTGGTTTCTATCCCAAGTTAGACGTGGAGGAGAACCTGTAGAGGGCAAGACCAACCCCCATTTAAGGGACAAGGCCGGTTCAATTGTAATCCCCCAAACACACAATATACTTGAATCACCTTATATTTTATCTTTATTTTTAGCCATATTTTTTATTTTACCCTAGTTTTAGTCCATCTTTGTCGATTTGTGCCGTAAATCGTCCGCCGCCGCTGCGAGAGTACGACACCTCTTTGTAGGTTTGTCCTGAAAACCTTCCGTTTGTCTACGAGACGGGTAGTTATCCTCATATCGATCTAAATCGGTCTAGATGCTGACTTTAATCTCTAAATCGGCTCCGCTAGCCGGTTTAGCCGTTTTCTACAAAACCTATCTTGATTTGGCTTTTTAGCTAGATCGAGGTGGTTGGCGACTCCATATCACCTTAAGACGTTTAGGTGTTGCGATCGTACTTGTCGACTTGTCACAAAAAGTTATCAACAAGTACCCGTCGATAGAGAGATGTAATTTCATTAGTACTAAGATATATCAGTAAGGTCTCTCAAGTAAGGTGCGTGCATGTTGTGTTTAAAGCGAAATTAAACACCTATAGTGTCTTCGATAATCTTAAGATACTCCCATCCAATCTTTCAGAAACGCTCATCGTGATAGAGTGTGTTGTATTTATTAGAAAATGAATTAATTTGGCATTTATTTGTGAAAAGAAATGGATCCGGCGTATAACACATGATCATGTAGTAATTGGTAGTGAGGAAACGGCCCGAAAATAGACGGAAATTACCTCCACCATGTTTGTTTAATTTTTTTTGTTGGAAATGGAAAAAAAATCTCAGATACAGAAATTATAATGAATATAGATACAAAGTAAATACCAACAGTAACGAATATGATCATGGATAGTTATATCTACAAGAATATACTTAAACTCATGTTAAATATAATATGTCATTGTAAATTAGACTATTTATTTTTTAAAAAGAAAACTTAGAGTTTTAAATATGAAGTGTATCCATATTAAAATATCATTTTCAAATTTTATTTATTCAATTCTAAAATTAATAATTAATGAATGTAATTGAGATGGATTTTTTTTTAAAAAAAAGAAACAAGTTACTCTCCCCTATTCACATTATAAGACATTTTGGAATCTCTATATCTCGGTTAGATTTTATCACATAATAATCTATCTTGTTAAAGAGATTTTATAACTATTTTAAGTGAGTGACATGTAAATAAGGAGGGGTTATCCCCTTGAAAGTTTAGAATAGTCTCCTAGCCTGTCAACATCTCGCTTGTGTTCAGTGAGATTGCACTGCATGTATGCATGATCACAACAATTGAGCAGTAGGTTTTCTCAGGGGTGGATCCCAGGATTCCTTGAAGATACTCCCTCCATCCTAAAATATAACAATTTTAACCCTCAGTATTTGTTCCAAAATATAACTTCTCCATCAACATTCTCTTCCCAACCAATTACAACCCTCCACCATTCATTTTTTCCACCTACCTCCACTACTCATCCAATCACAACTCTCACAATTTCAAATTTTATACTAACTTTACGAAACTACTAATGTGTAATATTCATATTGGATTTTATATACATGTTAGTTATTAATTATTTTTAATATCAAATTTTAGTTATTTCTAAATTATATTCCTATATGGACTCTAGATCGTCTTTCAATATTTCTTATTTTTTAATTCTGAATTTTCGTTATCTGTAAATTGTATTTATATATAGACTCTAGGTTCTTCATCCAATATTATTTATTTTTAATTCTGAATTTTTGTTATTTCTAATTGTATTTTTATGTGAACTTTAAACTCATCTTTAGATATTCTTTAATTTTTAATTTCAAATTTCAGTTACTTCTAAATTGTATTTCTATATTGACTTTAGACTCTTCTTCCTCTGTTTTTTTAAATTTCATCATGTTGGGTGATCAAGCCGACAACGTCCACGATGAATTATCTGTTAACAACCTTTTCTCAAATAGTCCAGCCGTAGCCGACGTTGTACATGAGATAAGTCGTCGGCCTTCGTTGGTAGGTTGGGTGTGACAACTCAGCATTTTTCGAGAGCGTTCTCGATAATGGGGTGTACTTGACCATATCCTACTCGAGTGCTCAATTGTTCCTGAAAAATATTTTCTAGAAGACAAGATATATAGCATAGAATATCGAGTATGTACTTAAAAAACTGCATGAATCTTCTAGCAATTTAATATTCTAGTTTTTAATTCCATATTTAATTTTGAATTTCAGCTATTTAAAATTGTATTTCTATATGGACTCTATTATTTCTTTTTCTCTGATTACGTATTTCAATTAGTTATAAATTATATACCAGTATGAACTCTAGTCTTCTCTTCCAATATTCATTATTTTTAATTACAAATTCAACTATTTTAAATTGTTTTTCTATATGGACTTTGATTAATATGAATTTGTAGCCCATGAGAGAGAATGTGGAGTCTAATTTTCCTATTACTTAAATAAGTTAATGGATTAGTTCTTAATCCAATTACACTTGCTCTGCATTGGTTGAATTAGAAATAAACTTTGTGTATGTGGTTTGTTTGGTCGTTTCCATCTCAAACTTTTTTACTCCGATTCCTATACCTTACTTTAAGCTTCTGTAAAAAAAAGATTTCTATTAGTTATATAACTATTATATTAAATCTAAACTGTTATAATCTGGATCTACTATGACGCGATGGTTATTTAATTTTTTCTCTTTGTCTTGATTAACATTGGAATTTCTATTTTTCTTGTCCGTTTTCACTTTTTTTCTATCTTTCTCGTCCGTTTCCATTTTTTTTTGTCCGTTTCAATTTTTTTATCCGTTTACACTACACCCAATCTAATACCCTTCTTTTTTTGTCCGTTTACACAAAACCTAATCCTAATACCCTTCTATTTTTATTTTTTCTTATTTTCTTTCGATTAACGTGAGATTTTCTAGACCGTAAGAGTGAACGTGGAGGCTTCTTTTTCTGTTACTTTATTAAGTTAATAGATTGAAAATGTTTCTATTGAATTCTTTTTTATTGAATTCTTTTTTACATCGCTCAGTTTCTGATACGTACTATTTTTCTTCGGTATATTTCTATCATTTTTTTTGTCTATCGCCTCCGTGATCGAGTCGGTCTCATACCCTACACGGTCGCATGAAGATGCACACGCTTTACGCGTCCACCTGCCTCTTCACATATTGTTCACATGCAGGGGCGGATCTAGAAAAAAAATAGTAGTGGAGGCTGAATAAACTACATCAGCATAAATCGAACCTCCAGTCCCCACATCCTATGGATCTATGGAAAAAAAATTTAGTGGGGGCTTAGGGGGTCTCCACTGTCCCGGAGACGGTAGTGGGGTCTCAAGACCCCCGCCCCCATTGTGAATCTGCCCCTGTCCACGTGCCCCCATTGTGAATCTGCCCCTGTCCACGTGTCTTCATTCAGTTAGGCACCGATTGTCTCGCTCGTCATGTCTACGGGGCCACCTTCGCAGCTTCGCTGGATGGGACTATTGCCCTGAATCATGCAACTTCATCATGCGTGTGTGACAAAAAAAAAAATTTCACGGTATCATCTATGATTTCGATTGGATGTTCTCTCCACTTCTTTTTTTTTTTGTGATTTTTAGCACTTATACATATATGGATTTACGTACCCATCACATTAATTCTTTCATGCAATGCCCGTGTGCCAAATCTCGGCCTTTTACTTAGCGTAATACCAGATCCTCACTGTATTGGTCAAGGTTGGCTTTAAACCTCTATACAATAAATAGACCAAATAACCATAGTAAAAATATTTTTCGTCATACGACCCACATTATTCAATACAAGCAAACACATGATGAATAAAATTTAAGTCCTCCAGAACTATATGATGTGCTTTTCCCGGAGAAAACAAGCAGCTAGACTACTCGCATTTCATGAATTTCCTCTCAGCTTACTTCCTAATTTGCCTGAAATCAACCAACATTTCTCAATGGCATCTAACATCTCTTAATATTTTCTTAAAGACTGCGAAACCACTCTTGAGTAATTGACTTGATATATGGGTCAAATTACACAATGCATACACATAATACAACGAATTTGCATGACCACATCTTCACTAGTCTGAAACGGCTGCATGCCAGGGCTTTACTTTTACCTTGTTCACTGAAGGTTTCCGTGTGTGTGTGTGTGTGTGTGTGTGTGTGTGTCTATATATATATATATATATATATATATATAGACACACACACATATATAATGTATCAT